ATGTACAATATTCAGTGATAGAATTGAATGTAAGTTCAAAAGAGCAATAGTTATACTAATATGAAAGGAAAATATCAATTTAATGAAATAAACTGCATATGTAAAATGGGAACATGTTGACTTAACAACTCTCTAAAACCCAAATCCCCTTCATCAATTTTTATAGACTGTATGTATATAGGTTCCAAAAATTTACAAAATTATTTTTTCAGATAGGGATGGATCATACTGAAGATTTGTTTCAGAATTTGTGAGAATGTAAATGCAATTTGGGTGAATCATTTCATTCATGCTAAATTACGACTACGGTAATCTACCATGATTGACTCCCTTACCTTGTTTTCATTGGCTGTGGCTTCCTTCAGGAGTTCATCCTACAATATAGTATCATGGCCAACACGTATCAGCATCTGATACTCAAGGTTAAGTATCTAAAACATTCTTCAAATATCAGACATATTTCATAGATGAATATTCTACTATGCTGCACAAATAACAATGTGAGAATAAAGCTTTCAAAAGATGGAACCTTTGAAACAAACAAAATGAATGAATGATTAAATGACTGTTCAAGAACTTCTTATTTTTCTACAAGAATACTAGAAAATAATTGCTGCTTGAGAAATATAAGAGAAAAATTCACAAACTTGATTGTAAATAAAAAAGATACATATTTAATGGCAACCACACGGAGCAGTCCTCATCTTTCTGGCAGTAATTTTGTTAAGGATAAAATTTGACAATGTTTCTATATTCATATTAATAAAAAGGCCCATAGGCCACAACACTCACCTTTGGAATTTGAAACACATTACTGTGCCTTTTTACCTCAAAGTAATTTCAACAAGATCAATTAACTTTAATTTAAAGTACATTGCATCATCCAAAACCAACGGTCAATCTTGCATATGCGAGATTGACTATGGGTTTCCAACGATGAGTATACATTGCCAAAAAAAATCCTTGGAAACCAATTATACAAAAAAAGTTAAACCAGCTGGAGGTTTTCCTAAGATAAATCAACAGAGGATATCTTGTTACTGGCCCCATCACCTGCTTCTCTTTCTTCTTTTCTTTCAATTCTTCTTCCTCTTTCTCTTTTCTCTGTCTTTCTTCCCATTCCTCCTTAATTTTTTTCTACAACAAAAAAGATTTTGTGCAACACTAACAAGAACCATACACAGTGTATCTGAAATATAACTATTTCCTCTGTTTACTATTGTTGTTTACTGATATTGACCTAATGATCTTTTGACCTTTTTGCTCTCACCTCCGTTTCTATTCTTTTTTCCTTTTCCTTAGTCTCCCGTTCCTTTTGGATCCTCCACTCCTCCTGTGCTAATCTCTCCTTCTCCAGCCATACCTTATGGAGATATGCCCTTTCGGCCTCATCACGCTGCTCTTGTAACAACTCATACTCTTCTTTTTCTTTCAACATTTTCTGATAAGATGCTGAGCTTTCTCTTTGTTTTTCCTCTGGAAAGAAATGTACACACTTCTCAGGATTTTCCCTTTACTTCAAAATAAAGGTTTAGAGATCAGTTGTAACAGGCTAGGGGCTGAAGTTCTCTGCTGACTTTACAACAATTAAATTTTGGTCTCTTTATTTCAAAGCAGCATTTCTTCAGTTGAAGCGGTCAATTTGGCCAATAGCCAGTTCTTCGGGAAAACGTTGCTTCTCAAACCAGAAGTCTCTGTCGAGACTGAAGCTCTACTGGTTTCTACTTATAACAAGAGGCCCAAGGGCCACAGCGCTCACCTGAGCAATTGGCTAGGAAAAAGCACATATCAGATCAGAACTGAAAGTTTACTGAGGTGTGGGGGGGGGCTTGAATTTTAACCCCCCCCCCCAGGGGTTCATGATTTCAACAAACTAGAATCTACACCAGGGGCGTAGTATCAGGGGGGGCCAGGCCCCCCACTTTTTCTCCCGACATTACCTTTACTATAGAAAATGTTTACTGAAGGGAAGGTTGGCCCCCCCACATTTCAGCAAAGGGTAGTGTTATAAAGAAAATTTACCCCAAAAGTTTCAATTGAAAGATAGTTGGTCTTGAAAAAAGTTAGCCACTACCCCCCCCCCCCCCCCCCCCCCCCCCCCCCCCCACGAAATAGGATTTTCGACTTCGGGCAACTTTTCCCTTTTTTTTTTTTTTTTGCTTGTCAACTTTTTCAGGCAAGTAAAAAAAATTTTTGCTCAGGTTGGCCCCCCCACTTCCAAAAACGATGCTACGCGCCTGTACACTACCTGAGGATGATTCCAGACTTGTCGAAATCCATCGGTCCTGTCGGCAAGGCCGGTAAAAATTTGTCTGGACCGATAACATTTAAGAAATCGTCGGTCCAGATGACCGTTTGAAAAAAATTGAGCGTATTGCAAATTTAATAAAGGTCGGGATCGGGATGCATAGTTAAAGGTCACAAACACAGAAAAAATGGCCGCATACGCGGCATGTTGACGATAGCCAAGTAAATTTGTTATAGCAAAGTCATAAAACATGTTATTTATGTCTATGTTAAAGACTTTCTATCCCAAGAAAGGAAACTTAATTGTCATACTGAAGGCTGTTGAAAATAATAAAGGGCATTTTGGTGCTGTTATTTATGTGACTTTCTCAGCGTCAAAATAAGGTACAAGTATCTGGTCTGACAAAAGTTTGACTGGTCCGGCAGAACATACCACTTTGTCAGACCAAATGTCTGACAGAGATTAAAAAATTTCGACAAGTCTGTGATTCCACATAAATATCATTAATCATGGATTAGAAGTACTTGAAAAGAAGATTTTAAAAGGTATCCCTATGTATCCCTATGTAAAACTTGGGTCGGCCATTTTGGCCCCACCCTAGCCCCGGAGGTCATGATTTGAACAAACTTGAATCTACACTACCTGAGGATGATTTCACATGAGTTTCATTTTTCCTGGCCCAGTGGTTCTTGAGAAGAAGATTTTTAAAGATTTTTCATATATATTCCTATGTAAAACTTTGATCTGCCATTCTGGCCCCACCCTAGCCACAGGGGTTATGATTTGAACAAATTTGATTCTACTCTACCTGAGGATAATTTTACATGTGTTTCATCTTTCCTGGCCCAGTGTTTCTTGAGAAGAAGATTTTTAAATATTTTTCATATATATTCCTATGTAAAACTTTGATCTGCCATTTTGGCCCCACCCTAGCCACGGGTGAAGAAACTTGAATCTACACTACCTGAGGATAATTCCACATGAGTTTCATCTTTTCTGGCCCAGTGGTTCTTGAGAAGAAGTTTTTTTTAAAGATTTTTCATATACATATATTCTTATGTAAAACTTGGGTCGGCCATTTTGGCCCCACCCTAGCCCCGGGGGTCATGATTTGAACAAACTTGAATCTACACTACCTGAGGATGATTCCACATGAGTTTCATTTTTCCTGGCCCAGTGGTTCTTGAGAAGAAGATTTTTTAATAATGCCATTAATTTTTCTCTAATTCATAATTATCTCCCCTTGGAAAAGGGCTTGGCCCTTCATTTGAAAAACTTAAATTCCCTTCACCAAAGAGTACTTTGTGGCATGTTTGGTTGAAATTGGCCCAGTGGTTCTTGAGAAGAAGATGAAAATGTAAAAAGTTTACGACAACGACCACAACAACGACAACGACTATGACAACGACAGACAACGGACAAATTTTGATCAGAAAAGCTCCCTTGAGCCTTCGGTTCAGGTGAGCTAATAAAGAAAGAGGGAAGTAGCAGTTGGGATATAAAACTTTACAAAAGCAATAAATAGAATAATGACAAAAACAGATACAGTGGACCTTCAGATATCCGGATGCTTCACCTTCCGGACGATTTTTCTCGGGAACGGATTTTTTTAACGTAATTTTGACTCATTTATCCGGAATTCCGCGTTCCGCGTTCCGTATCCGGACGGCTCTTTTTTACTACAAAATGTATTTTTACATTATAATTTGGTTCATTTATTCGGACGGTAAATTTTTAATTTGTACTTCCACTCTTGTCAACATTCACGCCTGAACTGAGTGATAATTGTTATCAAAACACTGGCCGGATTGATTGTTTTTACAAGACGATCACCTGTGACCTGAATGACTTACGATGATTAGTCCACAGATTAAGCATGCTAAGTGGTTATGGTCATAATACACGAGAGATCGATACACAAATGAAAATAAACAATTAACTGTGTCGATAACAGAAAACAGTTTTCTATTCACTTATTTGTTATCTGCGAGATATTTATAATTTTAGTACAGAGCTGGTTTTAAATATTTTTTTTATTTATAGACGGGACGAAATAGTTTCATAATCTCGTTGTCTACACATGTGCACACACAAATCGGTATTGTGTAATTTTCATCTGTAGATTGGTGGCAGTTATCATCGAAAAAAACCCCTAAAACATTCAATCAAATTTGAATAATTTTAGACAATCAATGATTTCGCTTGGAAAGATTACTGCGTGAATTTTTAATATGTCAGATTTAGCGTGGATACATGTACGTGTTCAAATTAAAAATTAGACTCGATACTGACAGCTCGCTTGGGTGTAATCAAAGCTGCAAATGAGAGAATTCGCTTGGCTATGTTCATCAATTTATAGGAAGTAGAAAGTAAAAATAAGCTGGGTAATTAAAAATCTGCCCATATAAGCAGCGTTATATCCAATGTTTTTCATTCTGCTCTCCAGCTACAACCATGTCTACACCGCCGGCAAAGAGAGCACGAGTTGGCATTTCCGCCAGCTTAAAGAAAAAAAATCTGCTAATGCAAAATAGATCTTCCACGTTCTTCATTGCAAGATTTAAGGCAGTTTGTTATTGACGAGGAGAAAATTACCATTTTAAAATAATAAAGTATTATTTCTATATGATATTATTTATCTTTCTTTATATATAAGAGTTACAATACAAATACAGTATACCTGGAAGAGAAATTAATAGAATTCAGATATCCGGACGCTTCACTTATCCGGACAATTTGCTTGGGAACCAAAGCGTCCGGATAAATGAGGCTCCACTGTACACAGAATTATATATCTTAGTGTAGTCTACTTGTGTGCCAAGTTATAATGAAATCAGACCAAAACTGTAGGAGGAGTAGCATTTTAAATGTATTTCAAAGAAATTTCCTTTTTAAGTAACAACAGCAACATCGTTCATTGAAACAAAAACCTATTTACAGAATTATGTATCTTAGTGTAGTATACTTGTGTGCCAAGTTATATTGAAATCAGACTAAAACTGTAGGAGGAGTAGCATTTTAAATGTGTTTCACAGAAATTTCTATTTTTAGTAACCATGGCAACATAGTTCATCGAAATCAAAAATCAATATATAGAATTATGTATCTTAGTGTAGTCTACTTGTGTGCCAAGTTAAACTGAAATCAGACCAAAAGTGTAGGAGGAGTAGCATTTTGAAAGTATTTCACAGAAATTTCTATTTTTAGTAACCACGGCAACACCGTTCATCGAAATCAAAAATCGATACACAGAATTATGTATCTTAGTGTAGTCTACTTGTGTAGAATAATTTTTTTCATTTGATTGTGTATAAAATTCCAAAGTAACCTTTGTCTATTTCCTGTTGGCGTTTTCTGGCTTCTTCCTGTCTTTTCAGCTTCCTCTTCGCTTTCTTGTGAAGAGCTTTCCATTTTTTGTGACTGCAACAGTACAAAATAATTTGATTTTTTAAAAATCATTTGATTTTCTTTATGAAAACAAAGCATTATAGCAAGCGCAGCAAGCTCAATAGACTAACGTGTAAGAACAGAGGAAATTCGGAATGAAATCTGTACATGTATATGTCAGGCAAATTTCTCTGTGAAACATTCCCAGAATTCCTGCACTACCCAATGTCCTTTGTGCGAATAAATCAAAAGTAGTTAAAAAAATAAAGGAACATTGTTTCTTACCGAGAACTTAACGAAATGATTTTGCCTTGCCTTATTAAAAAAAATACCCCCATGCCACAACACTGGCCTTCACCTTGCCCTTCGGAAATGATACATATGACATCACCGGAAACTTATGAATTTTGACGATATGCTAATTAAGTCATGTCGGTTGCTTCCATGAAATAGATAAATAAACAATAACGTAAAGCAAAAAAAGCTTTAAGTTTGTAGAAATCTTTCAAAGAAACAAAAAATAACTCTGCAATGTTTTTCGACCAAAATTGTGCTAGGTCTATAATTTAAACCAGACGATCGGCCGTTTCCGTAAGCTCCGATGAGCTCCGTCACAGCTAGTCGAGATGTCTCGTGCGACTTGATGTTTGAAGTGGCTGATCAATTTTTCAAATGTTTTGATGGTACAACTCGGCTCACCTCAACGGTCACACCGTAAAACATATTAATGTTTATATGTTGACAGTGCGACCTAATTAAAGGGATGGCGCAATTTCTAATTCAGTTTTGTCAAACCACACGAAATTTCGACATTTGGTACATGACATTTGCTGACATCACGACATCATATGCAAGTTGCATTATCAAACTGAAACCTGAAGAGTGCTGATTTTAATAAAGAACCGTTTTATTGACTATTTGCCTGTAATATATCCATTAAATCAAGGCAAGTTAATATTTTGTTGAACAATTGTTGTTTTTCTTTCTTTTTTCCGCAGTTACTCTGGGCCAACAATGCATCCCTAGTTAAAACTACAGAATTCCATAGGTCTATGAAAGTTCAAATTATATTTCGAATGAATCTTTACTTGGCCAATATTAAATCATTAGTCTATAGCTAACGGGTTAGTGCGGTGTCATGCAAAAATGCGGGCCTTCCTACTCATCTTGCTAATAGTACTCAATGAAATATTTCAAATCAGAAACCCAAATATATAGGCCTCTTTGTTTCTGATACCTCAATTTGATCTGAGCTGGGTTTACGTCTGCTTTCTGCGTAACATTTTCACTGCAATGCATTTTTCACTCAGTCTCATCGGTCATCATGCTTCTAAAATCTGTGTCAAATAAATGCTTTGCTTCAAACGTTTCTGCAACGCAGATTAATTCCTGCACAACCTTTGGTGACGTTTTTCTCAAAACAGAATAGAAGACGACAACACAGCTGATGAGATCTGTGCCAAAATTAGAACAGATTATTATTTCTTTGTTCTGGGAGTTTTAAATTTGTGGCTCTACGGAAAGGTTGTGATTTGTTTGTTTATTCACTGATATACTAAGGAATTTTTTATTAGATATGCAAGATTTCTTCCATTGATGATTCACAGTAAACACAGATGATATTGATACCAACAGATCAACATTGCATAATGTGCGTTTGTTTATCATATTTAATTTTCATAGGAACGTCATTGAAACTTGCTGATCACCATGCTTTAATTGCTTCTTAGGACATATCTATAAAGTAATAATTCAATGGATACTATATTTTCTTATGTTTGACCAAATTTCTGTTGAAAATTAATATGATGTCAGTCATCAACAGTAGCCTAGCGTAATTGTATATACCATGATTTTACTCAAAGCTGTTTTGTAATCTTAAATTTTTATGTCTGTTCCTTGATGTACATTTTCGTTTTTTCCTGTAGAGGTGGTATGAGGGAGTGTTTGATGTGTACGGGCCGGTGTGAGCAGCTAGTTATCCAATGCTAAGACAGCCCCCTCAGACGTCTGATGGCAAACTGCCAGTGTTTGTGTTTCCTTCATCACTGAACTTTTACTCAGATGATCAATCATCTCATAAACAGGTGTTAACCCTGTACAACCCTTACGAGTTTCCACTCAAATTCAAAGGTACCCCCAAAAAAGGAACATTATATTTACCTTTAATGTGACTGTATTCATGAAGAATATACATATATTCACCTATATGATCATTGACTGACATGATTTTTTAAACATTGTATGACATAAAATGACACAAATACATGTACTTGATGTAAAATGAATATTAACTCTTTGTATGAGTTCTATCCTGAAACCTTTGCAAGGGGACAGAAAACAGTACACAATGAGTTAGATAAAAGTCTTTCTTGAAATCAGACTAAAATTCATGGTAATAGTAACATTTATTACAGTTTTATGCACTTCTCCAAGAAAATACACAGTGGTTGATTCTGAAGGTACTATAAGACCACATTGCTGCGTGGACATGTAAGTATACAATTTGAAGATCAACTAGTTTTTGTTTTTCATTTATTTCATTTCTCCTCGTAATAAGCCTTGTCTATATGACCTCTTTATCCTATTCAAATTCATTGGCTTAAGGAACCTTCCAGTTTTCTTTCACGGATTCCCTTATTCTGTCATTATTTAAGAACTTACATATTCAAATGATGGCCATATTTAATTACTTTACAAATGTTTGTTTTCTTCAGGCAATTTTGATTTTTTAAATGTGTAAATAAAACTTTCAAATTTTACAGTGTTGTTCGCCATCTAGACATCTGTATCAACAATGAAGGAGTGAAAGACAAACTACGCATTCAAGTCTTTGAGCATGGCACCAAGAAAGTTATTGGTACTTAGTGTTATTTATCAGAGCTTTAGGATGAGCTAGGGGCCAAAAAAATTTTTAATAAAACATTCAAATATAATCAAAACCAAAATTCTTAAATTTCTGTGCATCTTATCATTCTATGAATGTTTAGATGAAGATAACCGATTTAAACATTAATGTTTAAGTCAGATTTATGATTGTTTTTCTGGTATACACATACATACACATAATATACACATTTACAACTTAGCATCAGTGAAGTTGTGAGAACAACAATTGGTAATCGATTCTCCCTTGATGCTTATTACTTTTGAAATATACAGGTAAAAAAGACATTGTGGCAGTGCTGCTACCTAAAAAAGAACCCTCCCAACAACCTGAAGATAATTTCCATTCATTGAGTGCATCTGCTTCACAAGAACCCCAGGGGCCACCCAGTAGAGGTAAAACATATACTATAAACCAACTTTAGTTTGTGACAACTATATTTTGTGATTACCAGGGATAAACTTGTTTGGGACAATTAATTTTCACGATTAAGCTTTTTTTTAATCTGTAGTTATTAGACACAGGTACTTTAAGGAGTGGTTCACGGTGAGAAATATTTGTAATGACAAAGCTCTCGCAAACCGTGAGAAAATTTCTGTTATGATTATAAAAGTTGGTTTACAGTAGTCATATGCTACAGAAAATTTAATTGCTCCAGAGATAGGGCTGGGACGATACAGCTTTTTCTATATCGATACCTATCACAATATTTGAGCCACGATACGATATGTATCACAATATGCTTAACTGCTTATAAAATCTTTTTTTTGCATTGAAATAAACAGATTATTTCTTTGCAAATAAAAATAATTTATCCAAAATAGTTGTTTATATATTGTAAAACAAAAATATTTTACTCAAGTGGTGTTAATTATTATTTATTTCATATCTATATTTATATTTAGCTTATTTATCTTATATATTACACCCCAAATATTAAATAAACAAAGAAAAACAGAAGTAAGATTTTTTGGGGCGATATTCCGATATTTCTTCATATGTATCGATATGCGTATCATCCTAACATGTATCACGATATATCGATGTCTCGATATATCGTCCCAGCCCTATCCAGAGATGATCATGAGCAGTTCTAGTTTTAAATCGTAATCCATAGCTACATGTACTGCTGTGTAGCACTAGCAGTATTGATGTGTATGTTGTTTTAGCTAAAAGAGAGGAGGAGGTCCCAGTCTGATTGTGATATTTACTGCTGTGTTTGTTGTTTTAGCTATAAGACAAGAGGGCAGAGGGGGAGGAGGTCCCAGTCTGATTGTGATATTTACTGCTGTGTTTGTTGTTTTAGCTATAAGACAGGAGGGCAGAGGGGGAGGAGGTCCCAGTCTGATTGTGATATTTACTGCTGTGTTTGTTGTTTTAGCTATAAGACAAGAGGGCAGAGGGGGAGGAGGTCCCAGTCTGATTGTGATATTTACTGCTGTGTTCGTTGTTTTAGCTATAAGACAGGAGGGCAGAGGGGGAGGAGGTCCCAGTCTGATTGTGATATTTACTGCTGTGTTCGTTGTTTTAGCTATAAGACAGGAGGGCAGAGGGGGAGGAGGTCCCAGTCTGATTGTGATTTGTACTGCTGTGTCCTGTATCCTGGCCCTAATGCTGCCATTGAGTGGTGACACAGAGAGCAGGCTACCAGATTATCTTCACCTGACAGTGAACCAGAAAATGATTGCAGCATATATTCTAGGTAAATTATTCAGTGGAATTCTTATGTGGAAGTCTCCTAATGTTATTTTATTTTTAAGATCACACTCCCACTTTTCCAAAATGAAATAAAAAATTGTATTATTTTAAGCTGAAAATGTACTAAAATTTTGATAAAAATTTTTGAGACAATTGATTTTCCATTCTATTAATTATAAACTATAATGAACTTAAAAAGCTGAGCAATTGATGCTTACATGTACATATATCAAGGGCTTGATATTTGTATCATTTCTCCTTGAATTCATCTCTCATAAGTTCAGTCTTAGTTATTCCAAAAAAAAAAGAAAGAGGGAACAAAACTAAAAAACAAAACAAAAATTGATACCAGCAAATAGTGGTTTATACATTCTTTTCACCTTATTTTTCAGGTCTTGTCACTATGGTCATTTTACATGTATGACCCACCTTCCATTGTATTAACCTGTAAAGTTCTAATAAGATCTACCATACCACTGATCAAGAAAACAAACTGCTTATTCTGTATGTGTAGCGGTCCATTGATCAAGAAATAAAGCTTATTCCTTAGCAGTGCCCTGTAACAGAATATGTTTGCCAGCACAACTTAATGCTTTGTTTTGCCTTATTTCACATATCATAACTTATGATCCCACGATATTATGTATACACAGAAAGACATCTTATTTTGGAGGGGAGAAATAATCAGTCCATAATCATTTACATGTATGTAGATATGTTTGTACATGTATATGTTTAATTATAGTTGTGTAGAATGATAAATACCTCATGTTTAGTTCATGTACAGACAACTGTCATGTCACCTGTGTTTTAAATAATTTATTTGTAGATTACTCATTTTATTTGTATGTTTTGCAAAGCAGTGTGAAAAGTTTGCATTTGAATTTTTTTAAACCATCTCTCTCATACCTGTCAACAACAGCTTCAAAATTAAATAACAATTATTGAGTTGTACTATAAAATGTATAAGTCAAATTTGCCTAGTTTGGAAGAATGCGTTGTATTTCTATGAAAGATATATGTATTTTAAGCATTTCATATTTGTATTTTTCTGTGCATAGAAAGTTTTTTTTGTATTTGATCACTTACCGGTAAGCAAACTGTATTGAGTAGCATTTAAATATGATGTGTGCAATAAAAGACAATGTGAAACACAAAAAAAACATAATTAGTTTTTGATTTGTGAATAAATGCCGAGAGAAAAACAGTATATAGGAATAGTATGAAGAGTGAACTTATTTACCAAATATTTTTCTCAAACTGCATGTCATGCCATAATAAATGCACTAAATAGAATTCCAGTCTTGTGTCATTGGACAAGCTTGGGACATACATGTATGATTGCAACAATACTGATCCTGCTGTGTTCAGCTCATTCTAGGTTTGATCCTGATAGATCATATACATAGTTATTTTGGGAAAAGAACTGCTCCAAAAACTTTAACCTGGTCACTCATCTGGAAAAGATAGGTCAGATCCAGCATCCAAAGCAAGTTAAGTTTGTTAGTGTCCATCCCCAAATGCATCATCCTTGTAAGTTTGGTCTAGGTAGGGCTTATATATAGTTACTTGCAGTTGGGAATGGAAACCTGGTCTCTCATTTGGAAAATGTTGGACAGATCCATCATCTGAGTATGTCTGGTACGTAGTATCCATTCCTGGATACACCATCCATAGGACCTTTAGTTACACGTTAACATCAATGTAAATTTGATTCAGATTGGACATACAGTTACTTTGGAATGGACCTGCTCTAAAAACTTAAAGGTATGTCACTCGTCAAATTTGTTAAATCAAGGATTTTTTGAGAAGTATATTTTTGATAAGTACTCATACAGTGTGACTTAAAATAGTAGAGAAAATAGGGGGTCAGTGTGCATCTTGCTGATCTACGGTACAATTAAGTTGACCCTTCTTTCACTTAAACTTTGACTCTTTGGTTAATTACTTTAACCTTTATCATATTTTATGAGATGTTGCCATGTCAATAAATATAATGTTATTTTACGTAAAATAGTTTGAATAATATTCATCATTGAACAAATCTTGCGAATTAATGCGCGTAAATTATTGTGTGACCTTTTTGCATTAAAAATTAACATATTTTGAATAACAAAAAACTAAATAAGAAATAAAACATTTTCTTAAATCAAGCTTTTTACGGCTTAGTACTTATTAGTCACAAGTATCGAGTACTTCAAAATAATGAAAGAAAAAGTTGGGGTCATTGATGTTAATTTTGAAATATTGGTCAAAATATGTGATTTTCGGGCAAAAATGGTGTAAATTTTTATCTTGACTTATGTGACATATCTTCATTTTTTGGCCAAGTTTGTTGAAGGAAAGTGTAAAACTTGTTCTAAAAATATAAATGAAGACCTATATTTAATATTCCTAGCAATATCATAAAGGAAAATATTCTTGGAGTAGAAGTATGTGAGGCTAAAGTTCCAAGATATTAAATTTAACAAATGTGCAGATTTACAGAATTATCTGCTAAATATCATTCCACCAAAAGAAATAGTCCCTCATAAATATTGCCTCTTTGTAGCTTTTTGAGCAGTTTTTTCATTGAAGGTAAAACATTTACATTGTTGAATTTAAATATGTTATAAAATTGAATTTTTATAAATAGTTTTGAAGCAATAGGTTCTGCGTAAACTTTTATAAAAGGCTGAGGAGTGACATACTTTAACCTGGTCATCTTGAATATGAGCAACTGAAACAAGTCTGGTAGTGTTGATCCATGCGTCATTCATGTTGATTTGCTTATACTTGCTTTAATAACTTGTTATAGTTACTTGAGAATGGACTTAATTGTTCCTAAAACTTTGACGCCGACGTCAACGCCGTGGTATCATCTCTTACATCGTCGAGATTAGCTAAGAATAGATGTGATAATTAAGCAAGAATTTTAGCATGAATAACCTTGGTTTCCTCAGAAGAAACCCTTTTCCCCCTTATTCTCATAAAATATTAATTCATTTTGTGGATCCTCCAAAGATCGAGAATAAAGCTTAAGCTATAACCATTTTTGAATTCCGTCAACTTGTTCATGTAAATATTATAATTTATGGTAAATAAGATTAACAAACTATGATGTCAAATGGTTGTACATGTATAAAATGTTTCAAAAGTCGTGCGTTTTGATACTATTGATTTCGGTAAAACTTTCCATTTTCAAAATTTTTGATGCTCCATGGAATTAAAAAAAATTGAGAAAAAAATCTGTCATTGAAGACGTTGAAATTAAATAATCTATCCTTAACTGAAAAGAAAATAAGTTATATTTTGGCCTCTGATGCTGCACACGTTCCAGAAAAGGGATTAACGTATTTTTAGGAACACTCTTTTTTCAAAACTACCGGTATATAGATACAATATAGATACAATCACGGTCAAACTAAAAATTGGAAGCAGCTGTCATACAAAGTATATCATATTAAGTTTATTCATGGCCTCAAGAAAAATACATTTTTAAAGAAAATTAGACTTCTTGAATGTATTAAGTATTTACTATTTTGTTATAGTTTACTAGATAGTATTATTATTTTAGAGCCTTATTTTATTTTGAAGTTAAGAAGGATGACCCCGTACTAAGAGAGATTAATCTTACATTAATAAAACACTGTATTTTTTCACCATAACATTTTCTCTAACGTTGCCCTTCTTTCATAGTCTGGTCCTGATTCTTTGATTAAAAAGAAGGCTAGAAATAAGTTCTAACGGCAAATAATTATTATTTGGTCCAGCATAGTTTTTTAACCTATTTCGAGTATGATGAATCCGAAAAAATATATGCTGGCCTTCATGAAAATGGCGTTAAGTAGGTCAAAATGGCGGACACCAAATTTTTCCAAATTCTCCGTTGAAGCCGCTCAACCTAGAAAAGGATGCCGAAATAGCCTTGTATACACTGATTTTATATTACAACATCACTAACAGCTAGAAATGAAGCTCTTAAGTTAAATAATTAAGCCGTTTTCCTCCAAAATTCGAATTTTCTCTGTTTTTTAAAATCTTTTTATTTCTTAATTTGCTCTACTTTGTTAAGGATTTTTGCATACATGCATGTTCATACATTTTAGATTAGTTCTTTTGCGTGGAATCATACTAAAAAAACAAAAATATATAATATATTTGAATTCAATTTTGAAATAGAAATTAGCATAATAAAAAAACAAAGTAATATGCATTTAACATTAACAGTCCGCACACTGAATTCATGTTTGAATTAACAAATTTTATGAGACGTAATACAGTACGTCATGAATAAAAGTTTTACGTAATACATAACGTCATTAATAAAAGCTATACGTAGCTAGCTTATTGATAAATGATATTGTTTAACCTGTGTTTAAAACAATTTATTGATGGGGCTTCAATATGATTGAATCATTAGGACGTAAACGAAAACATCAATACAATACCGATTTGTGTGTTAAATGTCAGGACAGAAAACCAGATGTTTTAGAGTTAAAATCCAGAAAGTCGATAGAAACATTAATGGAGAGAGCATCTCGTCGTAAAAAAGTTAAAGATGCTAAAAATCATGATGCTATTGATAGAATTGAGCAGCTGAGTTCAGCTGAAAGAGTACTCTGTCACAGAAAATGTCACAGTGAATTTATACATCCAAAATCTATAAAAGCAATAGAAACAAAAGCTTGTGTCCTTGAAGATATTCCAAGGTCGAATACAGACTCAAAGAAATTACCGTCTACTTCTACGTCCTCCAATCTCTCCTCTTCAACGACCCGTTCATCGAGAAAGTCATTTTCTCCTGTAGAGTGAGAGTTATGTATGTTTTGTCAAAAACAGAATCGAGAAAAGCTATTCAACATTACAACCTTTTCTGTTAGTGACATGGTCTTACAGAAAGCCAAATATGACGAGGCATTGCGAGTTAAATTAGGGAATGTAAGCGATATGATTGCTACAGAGGGTAAATACAATTTAAAGTGTATGAATGCATTTAAGTATGAAACGCAGAAAACAGAGAAAGAGTCCCAAGGTGAGGATCTAGCCATGATTTTTCTTGTTCGTGAGCTTGAATACGCAGGGAATAAGCACCAAATTTTGCAGCTTTCTGATATTTGGAATAGATACTGTAGACTGATCGAAGAGATTGGGTCTGAGATCCCTCAGTCTTACATTACGTGAAGATCGACATTCAAAGATAACCTATACAAATAAAGGTAAAAATTCTCTTTCAGTTTATTCGTCCTATGGATAGAACAATCTAGCTCTGAACGCGAAACGCTTCTAGTGCCACATACTTGGTCTGCATCTCATTTTGGAGAAATATTCAATGAGGGACAAGATATCACAGATGATAAATTTCTCACCATGCCATGTTATAAGCCTACACATAACTCTTTTCACGAACTTGTACATGTTGCATTGAAATTAAGATCAGATATGCAAGATAGAAGTGGGCATAAAGGTTTAAACGTGAGTGAGGACGATGCCATTGACTGTGTACCAGAAAGTGTTCTCATGTTTTTAAATCTTCTTTATGGCGGGCAAGAACTTTTTGAAATTGCTTCCAGCGAAGAGCGTCCGGTGTGCACTAGACAAAAAAAAGTGTTAAGTGTCGCTCAAGATATATATTGTCTATGGGGTAAGTGATGGGAAAAAGTAGACTCCAAAGCATATTGGCCTTGCTTGTACATTACACCAAATGACAAGATCAAACAGCTCTTGAATTTATTCAATAGTGCTGGTCATACGCTTAGTTACAAGGATGTGCTGAGAATAGACACAGGTCTAGCAGAACGAACCCTCCAGTCTATGGACGAGAGAAGTGGCCATTTTATACTATTAATTTAAAACCTAATGTTTCATTGGCGTCGGAAGCAAATTGAAATTGGGGGGAGGGCTAAGTGTAAAAAAAAAAAAATTTGTACCTCCCAAAAAACCTGACAAGCAAAAAAAAAAAAAAAGGAAATGTCTATTTCCCAAACACGAAATTCCTATTTCGGGGGGGGGGGGGGGGGGGGGGCTAAGATTCGAACTCCAGTACTGAAAATTTCCTTCCAAACACCACCAATTTCCCCATTTTTAACCTAAACTAAGACATATCGGTGGAAAGTGGGGGGGCTAAACTTATGAAAGATATGTTCAATGTCTATACTAAGTATATATTTGGAAAAAAAGGGGGGGCTAAGCCCCC